CCAGATCCTTATTGCCGCCCGTCTCCCTCCTCATCCCTCCCTTCCCATCCTTTCCTAGTAGATACCTTCTCCTCGTGGGCCGGGTGTTACGTCTGAAATTCATCGAAAGCTCTGATCGTGAAGCTTGAACATTGCAGCGCTCACAATAAACATGGTAGAGGACGGGCCGTTTTCAAAGTGGAGCTCTCGCCTCTGCGCCTCGCGCATTCATCTCTGCAGTCCGCAGCAGGTGTAAGGAGCGAGCGCGGCCTGTTTCCAACATGGAGCTCTCGCCTCGGCGCCGCGCACATTTTTGTCTTCAACAGTTCTTAACCTTTTTCAACGAGATAGGGCCCTTCTTTTTGAACGTGGGGATCTCGCCTTAGCCTTAAATCGGGCCTGTCCCTCTACAGGAGGAATCTTTAAGAAAAGTCAAACAATAGTCAGGGGACGATGTGTGAAGTATTTTTTGATCATTTTTTGAATGTGTTCTACGTATTTGTTATTTTTCGTCGAAGTTGGCCTGTAGGGGGACATGCCCGACCTAACCTCAGCCCGCGCGCATTCGTCTGCATCATCTGGATACTCAGGGACGGAGGGTGGCTCTTCTTCCAACTGCGGCTCTCCGTTGTTCGCTCGCTATTCCACACAGCCGAGCATCATAGTCTTCAGCGCGTGTAATCGTTGCACTGGTGCAAGTCGCTTCCCTTTGAACATGCGACTTCCACTCGAGACTGCCTCGAAGTGCATCAGGTGTAATACGCTTGTTGTCTGGATCTCGCTGAGCACATCGTGGAAATATCTGTTCGTGCATGCTTGCACTCGAAGGCTGCCATGTATCTCCTTGTCACAGCGTGGCCCTGGCCGGATCTCTCCGCCCATGAGAGGTGCTGGTCTTTGCAGGGGACACTTCTTTTCTGGCGAGAAGGACGGGCTCGTAGGGACACGAAAGTGGGACTCGGGACGGGAGGTTGTGCTGCAGCATCGTTGGTGCATCTTGGGTTGATTCTGGTCACCCCCCTCGTCTTCGTTTTTCTCCCCTTCCCCCCACCCTCCCTCCGGAAGCGACTGAAATCACGATCCCAGGAAGACTTGGATCGCGATCCAAGTCTTTTGGGCGCGGCGCGCCGCAGGGAGAGCCCCCTCCTCCTTCCTTGAGACTCCCCCGAACGAGGAGGAGGAGGCGGAGGGAAGCGGGGGGAGGAGGGAAGGAGGGAGGAGGAGGAAGAGGAGGGAAGGGGGGAAGAGGAGGAGAAGAGCGAGGAAGTGGGAGGAGGAGGAAGGAGGAAAAAAGACGAGGGAGAAAGAGAAAAAAACGTTGCAACTGATTGGTTTCCGTGGGTGTGGGCTTCCATAGGTTTCCGATGGATGGTTTTCCGTTGGTTTGTGTTTCCGTGGGTGTCCGTGGGTTTGGGTTTGGGTTGGGTTTCCGTTGGTTTCCGTGCGTTTGGGTTTGGGTTGAATTTTCGCGGGTTTCCGTGGGTCTGTGCTTCCATGGGTGTCCGTGGGCTTCCGTGAGTTTGGGTTTCCGTTGCTTTCCGTCGGATTCCGTGCGTTTGGATTTGGGTTGGGTTTCCGTGGGTTTCCGTGTGTTTAAATTTCCGTGGGTTTCCGTTGGTTTGGGTGTTCATGGGTTTCCGTACGTTACCTTGGGTTGTCGTCGTCGTCAGCAGCATCATCATCATCCCAGCCCAGTCGTCGTCGTCAGCATCATCATCATCACCCCATCCCAGCCCAGTCGTCGTCGTTTCCTACAGCGCAGCCAGCCCAGTCGTCGTCGTCAGCATCATCATCATCATCATCATTATCATCATCATAATCATAATCATCATCGTCATCACCGTCAGCATCAGCATCATCAGCAACATCATCATCAAAAGATCACCACCACCATCATCATCACAATCGTCATCATCATCATCATCAGAATGCCCATCACCGCCCCCCCACATCGTCCTTATCATCACCACGGCCGCCATCACCATCATCATCACCATCATCATCATCATCATCATCATCATCATCGTCACCATCGCCCCTGACGAGCTCACCGTCTTCGAACACACCCGAAAATGAAACATATTCAATTTGGGGCAACACCGAAATGTAAGAAGAACCACATGAAGCACATGTACAGGAACATGTACAGAAACATCGCCCAGGCGACTCCCACGTAGGACCCCTGGGGGCTCGCCCGGAAAGAAACAAATTCCAAGGCGCGCCCGGGGGCCCAGGAGTAGTAGTCGTAGTAGTAGTAGTAGTAGTAGTAGTAGTAGTAGTAGTAGTAGTAGTAGTGGTGGTAGTAGTAGTAGTAGTAGTAGTAGTCGTAGTAGTAGTAGTAGTAGTAGTAGTAGTAGTAGTAGAAGAGGAAGTAGAAGTAGAAGAAGAAGAAGTAGTAGTAGTAGTACTAGTAGTGGTAGAAAGTAGTAGTAGTAGTAGTAGTTTAGTAGTAGTATAGTAGTAGTAGTAATAGTAGTTAGTAGTAGTAGAGTAGGTAGTGTAGTAGTAGTAGTAGTAGTAATAGTAGAAGTAGTAGTAGTAGTAGTAGTAGTAGTAGTAGTAGTAGTAGTAGTAGTAGTAGTAGTAGTAGTAGCAGTAGTAGTAAAAAGTGGTTAAAAGTAGTAGTAGTAGTAGTAGTAGTAGTAGTAGTAGCAGTAGTAGTAGTAGTAGTAGTAGTAGTAGTAGTAGAAGTAGTAGTAATAGTAGAAGTAGAAGTGAAAGTAGAAGTAGAAGTACAAGTAATAGTAGTAGTAGTAATACTAATAATAGTAGTAGAAGTAGAAGTAGAAGTATAAATATAAGTAGAAGTAGAAGAAGAAGAAGTAGTAGTAGTCGTGGTAGACATAGAATTAGTAGTAGTAGTAGAAGTAGATGTAGAAATAATAGTAGTAGTAGTTGTAGTAGTAGAAGTAGTAGTCGTAGTAGTAGTAGTAGTAATAGTAGTAGTAGTAGTAGAAGTAGAAGTAGAAGAAGAAGTATAAGTATAAGAAGAATAATAAGTAGTAGTAGTAGTGGTAGAAAGTGGTAGTAGTAGTAGTAGTAGTAGTAGTAATAGTAGTAGTAGTAGTAGTAGTAGTAGTAGTAGTAGTAGTAGTAGTAGTAGTGGTAGTAGTGGTAGTAGTAGTAGTAATAGTAGAAGTAGAAGTGAAAGTATAAGTAGAAGTACAAGTAATAGTAGTAGCAGTAATAATAGTAGTAGTAGAAGTAGAAGTAGAAGTAGAAGTATAAGAAGAAGTAGTAGTAGTCGTTGTAGAAATAGAATTAGTAGTAGTAGTAGAAGTAGAAGTAGAAATAGTAGTAGTAGTAGTGGTGGTAGTGGTAGTAGTAGTAGTAGTAGTAGTAGTAGTAGTAGTAGTAGTAGTAGTAGTATTAGTAGTAGTAGTAGTAGTAGTGGTAGTAGTGGTAGTGGTAGTAGTAGTAGTAGTAGTAGTAGTAGTAGTAGTAGTAGTAGTAGTAGTAGTAGCTCCCGTGGAGCTCCCGCAGGGGCCACGACCCGTGGAGCTCCTTGTGAGGCCGCGATCCTCGTGATGGGCCTCCCGAACTTGGCGGGGGGACGCATGCGGACCCTGCCGCTGGGACATTCGGTGGAGCTCCCGATGGGGCCACGACCTTCGGGAAGGGTGTGCCGAAATAAGCGGGGGGACGCGTGCAACAAATCGCTGCTGAGGCCTTCGGTGAGAAGCACACATGCGAGGAAGTGTGTGTGTGTGTGTCCAGCCCGGGCCGTCCGAGACACAGCCAGTCGCAAGCGATGCCGAAACAATCCTAGATCCGAAACTTGCGAACTCCTGTTGTGATGAACAAATCACGCCCAACGCGGCGGCGGCGGCGACGGCGGCGGCGTCGCCGGCGGCGGCGGCGGCGGCGGCGGGGACGACGACGACGACGACGACGACGAAGACGACGACGACGACGACGGCGACGACGGCGGCGGCGGCGGCGACGACGACGACGACGACGACGACGACGACGACGACGGCGGCGGCGGCGGCGGCGGCGGCGGCGGCAGCGGCGGCAACGAATGCCCCGCGCCCTCGCTACCCGCTCTCTTTGTCTTCGATCGCGCCCCCTTTAGGGGGGATTCTTTCTCTTTGCGGGGGCGGGCGGAGGGCCTCAGCAGTATACGTCCGTCCCGCCCGGCTGCCTGCCGCTCATTTTTTCCTCTACGGATTCGCGGCGGCCGGGCGCTTGCGAGCTGCGCGCAAGCGACGCAACTTCTCCACCATTTTTGAGGCGAGCACAGAGGCCCGCTGGAGATGCTCGGGGATCACGCCAGTGAGCACGTAGTTCAGGGCCCGGGTCAACGCGCAGCTGGCGAACTGCGTGGTCTCTTCAGTGACTTCCTGATCAGTACAAAACCCAAGGTGGCACCCCTCTGCAGGCTTCCCGTCCACGCATACCGCCTTCGGCCACATGAACCTCAGATCCGACATCAGCTCCTTCCTGTACGCCCGGACGGCCTTCTCGACGCGACCGCTAAGGCGGTGGAACTCCAGCGCGCCCGGGCCATCCGGGTGGTCAGATTTCGACTCCAACACGTGGTTCTGTAGATGCACATGGGCGCGGCCCAACCCATCGAGACGTTCAATAGATTCTTCCCCATGAACGACAGTTCGGCGTCGTCCGAGTACCCTTTCGTCCTGGACAGGAACTCAAGCTTTGTCGTGTATATCTTATACTCGCCCAAATCTCGAGCCTCTCCCTGGTACAGCACTTTGCGCAAACCTTGCTTGATCTGCGTCATCCCAGCTGGGGAGATAGAGCGGCTGCTGTCGAGGCAAGAATTGTAGGCCCTGAGGTTGAAACGAATGGAGAACACGTTCTGCCCGGACTTCAGGATATCCGTGACGAACGAGCCCAGGGCTGCGTCGCGTTGAGGGCCAGTCTGCCCATGCCATAACGGCAAAGAGCCCGCGGCCTCCACGGCCTGCAACGCTTTCATCACAGCCCCGCCGTTGAACGTTTGTAGCAGGGAGACTAACTGCACTTGCACATCGCTCTGAACGCCCATGCTCTGCCAC